AGAAGGGAGAAAAGAAGGGAGAAAAGAAGGGAGAAAAGAAGGGAGAAAAGAAGGGAGAAGAAGGGAGAAGAAGGGAGAAGAAGGGAGAAGGAAGGGAGAAGGAAGGGAGAAGGGAGGAGAAGGGAGAAGGGAGAAGGGAGAAGGGAGAAGGGGGTCTCTTTTTTTCTTTTCTTTCTGTAAGACAAATTTTCACTACATAGCATTGAATGGTCTGCAGCTTACTATGTAGTTCAGGCTGGCTTCCAGCTCACAGAGAGATCTGCCTGCCTCTGCCTGCATATGGAGTGCCAGGATTAAAAGGCATGGTGCTGGCCTTTTTCCTCCTCCTCCTCCTTCTTCCTTCTTCTTCTTCCCTCCTCTTCCTCCTCCCCCTCCCCTCCCCCTCCTCCTCCTCTTCCTCCTCCTCCTCCTTCTTCTTCTTCTTCTTCTTCTTTTTCTTCTTAACTTTTACCCTGTGTACACTATATGTCTCTGCTTGGTTCAAATGTTTTACTATTGTATATTTGTATATAAATGTACAGGATGAACAATTTGAGAACAATGATAATTTGAGAGATACTGTCTCAAACACAAACAAAAACAATGTAATTAAAAAAACTCATACGAGACCTTGAAAGTTAGGGGGGAGAACGTGATAAAGTAGAAGCCATAGATTTGTTTACAAGTCCATTTCTTCTTATTTTGTTAGTAGTTGGTAGCTAGGACTGAAGGAAGGAGTGCTAAGTGAACCCGGAGGAAGGTGGATGCTGAGGTTATAGGGCACAGTGGTTATTACAGGCATCTGACATCTCAGCCCATCTAATCTCTGGGAGGCAGATATTGTTAATCCTAGATCTGCAGTAGAGAAAATCAGCTCACAGGGGTAAAGTTGGCAGTTTAAGGTCTAGGAAAGGGCAAGGCTGGGAGTCAGAGCAGCCAAGTTCAATGTGGAAGGAAAGGAGAGGAGGAGCCATAGGGAACCATCTGCTGCTGTAGTCTTTGAAAATGGCTGGCCCCTGGGTGGAGGAGGAAGGCAGGCTCCAGAACTGGCTAGTGGGACCACCTTTAGGGGTTAGCAGGAAAACAAAAAAGGGTTGGGTTTAGACAGTGAAGCAGGTCTTGCCTCTCAGGAACTGAAGATCTTCTCTCTCCCAACTCCTAGGACTGTGGAATCTCCTGAGAATGGCTGATCTGTAAACTGCAGCCACCAGGAAGGAGATTGGAGGTTACTGAAGTTATCTATCCTCTGCTGAACCTCATGCTTGAGTCCTGGGAGTGAGAACTAAAATGGATGTTCAACTACAAGTTTGAGCCACTCTGGTCAGCGTTCTAATGCCCACTAAGAATGGGTGGGGATGCTGGTAGATTCTGCTTGCGCTAGAAAGGCTCCTGCTGGCCAGCACTGTTGGGGGCAGGGTATCTGCTCTATACAGGACTCAGATAGTTCCTGAGTTACCGAGGACTGTTGGTGGAATTTTTTTTTTTTTTTTTAGCTTTTAAAAAACTGTGTATGAATGTTCTGCCTGCATGTATATATGTGCACCATATGTGTGCCTGGTGCCTTTGGAGGTCAAAGGAAGGCATCTAATCCCTCAAAGCTGGAGTTACAGATGGTTATGAGCCACGATGGGGGTGGGGGAGGAACCAAACCGGGTCTTCTGCAAAAGCTGCAAGTGCTTTTAGTCTCTGAGCCAACTCTGTAGGCCTCTTTATTTTATTTTTAAAGTTTTAGATAGAGACTTGTTATATAGACTGGGCTGGCTCCAAATTCATGGCAACCCTCCTGCCTCAGTCTGGGATAGTGAGCATAAGCCACCACTCCCAGCACTGGTGGGATTCTTTTAAAATGTGTTTTGCATGCAGGTCTGTGTATGTATGTGTGCAGGACAGAAGAGAGAGCCAGATCCCCTAGAACTGGAGTTACAGGTGGGTGTAAGACACTTGACATGGGTGCTGGGAATCAAACTTAAGTTCTCTGCAAGTACCCCACTGGCTCAGAACCACTGAGCCATCTCTCCAGCCTATGGAGTGATTCCTTACCTGCCCAGGAAGTCCTGGGGACTTACTGGGTGGCACACATCAGGAAGGTTTAGGTTGTTTCTGTCAGTGTGGCCCTCTTTTATAGTCCCATTCACAGGTTTCATAGGTTATGTTAAAGACCTACAGGTGCATATTCCAACCAGGGGAGGGGTGGGACGAACAACTGTCCACAGCTCCAACACTGAGACACTGGCTAAGGTCACAGAGAATAAGAAAAGCGAACTCCTTCTACGAGACCCAGGAGTAAACAGATGGCTCCAATTGCTGGAGTGTCTTTCTAAGCCTCAGGTTCCAAATCTGTGGGTTCCTAAATTGCAGGGTGAGAGATCAGTTTCGAAATGAGAAAGGGGGTGGGGGTGGGGGAGACAGAGACAGAATCCAACTCAGGATCACAGAGAGATTGGGGAAGGTACGGTCAGTCTACAGGCTAGCCTCCTTTCCTCAGCCCCACCCTGCTATTGACTTCAAACTCAAGGATCCCTAAGACAAAGCAGGGCCGCTGAGAACCAGCCTGTGAGGGGAGGGCCAGGAGGGCCTAGGCTTCCTGGAGCTTCACCAGCAAGGTCAGTGTCGAGTCCTCAAGGCCAGACTTTTGGTGGGCGGAGAGAAGAGCCTTAGACTAGTATGCGCATCTGTGGCTAAAGGCATTTTCTCCAGGGATCCAGCTGCCAGCTGAAAAAGCTACCCTCTAAGATTGCTAGTTGAAAACACCACAGTCTGGGTGGAATAACGGGTGGCATTACAAAAGCTTTTCCTGTTTTTCAAGACACCTTGGAGGAGCCAGTGATACTTTTATAGGACAGCGTGCTTTAACTTGACAAAAGAGCGGCGTGCCAATGGCCAGAAAAGAAGACCAGTTTCTAAAGCCGCTCCAGCCTTATCCGCTCCGGAAGCCGCCCTGTATCCTCCTCTGGTGCCGAAGATCGATGCTCAAGGACGTTGCAGCTGCCACAGGGACCAAGCACCTGTGTCCGTCTCAGCAGGGACTTCAGCCCGGAGCACATCTCCGGGTCTTAACGATAGCCAGTCCGCTGGCGGGAGTCTCAGCCTCTCAGGGTCGCACCCGGGTGCCTGTAGGAAAGGTGTGGACAGAGGAAAGGAAGCTACGGTCCCGCCAGCGTCCCAGTGGACCTGGAGAGCAAAGAAGGGCGGGAAAGACCCCGAAGCGGCTGGCTCTGGGTATCACATACACACCCAGGGGCGTCGCCCTCCAGTTTCAGTCATAGAGAGGTTAAGAGACTCATCTGGAGTCACACAGCTAGCTGGCAGCACTTGGAGGCTGCAGTTCTGATTCCCGCTGGACGGGCACACACCCCTTCCCTTGGTTCTGATCCTTGAGACTGTCGGACCTGGGATCGTTCTTTGGTTAAGAGGACCACACAAACTAGCTTCGAAGCATTGCAGTCGCACCGGTCCGAGTGCAGCCAAAGGCGTGACGGGTCTTGGAGCAAAGGGTATCCCTGGTAATAACGCCTGGGACCTGGAGTGTGATGTCCCCACGGACTTCTGACCGCTTCGGAGTGAGGTCCTTCCAACTGGTCTCTTAACGGATGATCGCTCCACATCTCAAACACTGACATCTGACAGTGAACGAACTCGGTAGCCCCTGAAGCAGAATGGCTGTGTATCCTTGAGCAAGTCCCTTCCTTTCCCTGGACGGGCTGGCTGGGTGCCCCTGCGGTCGCGGCCGCGCATGCTCGTGGACGGGCGGTCCAGGGAGCAGGCGGCGGGCGCCCCAGCTGCTTTGCATTGACGCCAGCAGCCGCTGGAGGTCACCGCTGGGGGCTGGGCGCGGCGAGTTGCCCGCAAGACGCGGTCCGGAACACGGGGCGGGAGCCTCGGACGGTCAACTCCCGGCTCGCGCAGGCGCCTCGGCGCTTCTCGACGGCGCGGCCCGACCGGAGCCGAGGCGCTCGCTCCTTCAGCGCGCGGGTCCCCAGCGTCTTCCACCTTACTAGTAGCTCGGAGTGCGAGCACCGAGGGCTGGGCTCCCCCACGGTCGTCCGACTAGGGGCGCTTACCCCAGCCGCCCGCCGGGCTGAGGAGCGGGCGCCGCCAGGCGAGCGTCCGTTTCCTCGAGAGTCGGACGAGGCGAGGGCAGCGGTGCAAACGCGGCGCGGGCTCGCGGCTCCCGGTGGCGAGAGCGCAAATCTCCACCCCCGACATTCCCCGGAAGCGCGGCGGCCGCGGCGCGCGCGGCGATGTGAGGGAGACGGCGGAGGCTCCCGCCTCAGGAAGGGCATGTTCGGAGGGGCGTCCGCGGCGCGCCTCCCGCCCCAGCGCCCCCTCCCCACGGCCGCCGCCGCCGCGCCCGCAGCGAGATAAAAGGGGCGGCCGCGCTTCCTGACGCGAGACCCGCGCTCGCCGCCGCCCGCCCGCTCAGGCCGCGATGACACGGCGCCCGCGGCGGCCCCGAGGCGCCGGGCGGGCCGTTTGCTGACCGGATCGCGGCTGCCCGCCAGCGTGTCCGCGGTGCCGCCGCCGCCGCCGCCGCCGCCGCCGCCAGTATGGGCTGCGCCCCGAGCATCCACATTTCCGACAACCGAGGGTTGAACCACAGCGACGACGAGGACGTGGACGTCCCGGGCCCCGCGCCGAGGTCTAGACAGCGATGGTCGACCGCGCCCGCGCTCGTGGAGCCCCAGCCTCGAGACACCGGCGCCTCGAAGGTGAGCCGCACCGGGAGGGCGGGCAAACGCGGGGCCCGTGGGGCCCACTAGGCGGCCGCCGAGGCGTTGACCGACGCCAGCCGCCCGCGTTTGCGGGCTGTCGCGGACCGAGGCTTAACGGGGCTGTGACGCGGCGCCGCCAGATTCGCGGCGTCCGTTCGTTCCCCCGGCCCGGTCGGACGCCGCGAGTCAGTTTTCTCCCAGCGGAGTGGGTGGGAGACCCCGTGGGTGGGGGACCCGGCATATTCTGGCACGCCCCTGTCGTGGTAAACCAGGGTGCACTTTGCTCTTGCGGTTCCCGGAGTAGAAAGGCAAGGGTTGTCGGCTCTGGGGCTCTGGGAGGGGTCTTGGATGCCACAGTTCCCCCCACCTCACCCCCTGCCTAGCTTATCCCGACCTCTGTCCCCTCTTTGCACAAGCAGTTTCACTTTTCCACTTCTTTGGGGCCATTGAAATGTAACCTGGAACATAGGTTTGGCTTCACTGCACGCGTTATCTGAAGTTCAGGTTTATTAGCCTACGTGTGGTATTTAAAGCTTGTGTAATTAGAAAATACTACTGGAGACGTGATCTTTGAAGGATTCATTCGGCAGGGCGAAGTTAATCTTTTATGGAGGCAGTCTGACTGGGACTTGCAGGGTTTTTTTGTTTTGTTGTTCGTTGCGTGGCTTCTCCAGCGCCTTTTTGCCTCAGCTTTTATCAAAAGTTTCCAGGGCTAAGGTTTTCTGAAGGAAAGATAAAAGTTCACAGAGGCACCCGCAGCAGCTTTCCACTTTGGGCTTTTGGAGTGACGTCTGATGCATTGTAAAACAAACTGGTATGCTGGGCTGCAGTGTTTGAACGTATATTCCTCGTCACTAGGAAGTCTGAAGTATTTTGCAATTTTTAAAAGTATTATTGTTCACTGAATACTGCAGATCTTCCCAAATTTGAACGATGTAGTTGATTTACTTAACTGTCTTAAATTTCCAGCAATCATCCTGGTACTTTTTCTGTATGAAAGAGAAGATGTTGTTCAGCTTTCCATACTGGAGTGCTTGCCTGCCCTACGGATACTGTGAAAATTCAACCTTCTTCTGATTATCCACAGATGAATTCTTTCTCCTGGGGTTTCTTTAAAGAAACCCGTAATGGCTAGAGTTTAGACGGTTAGGCCAAACTGCTTTTAATGGCAGCAAGCAGCTTATATAATTAAGTCTAACAGGCTTACAAGCAAACAAGACACTGCAGATAAAGTTGAATCAAGGAACCTTGACAACTGTCACATTTCTTACCCAAATCTAAACATTGTTTTCTTTTTCATTAACCAGTATTAAATTCCAAAATCATCCTTTCAGTGAGACACCTTTGTTCTGACAGGCCTTTTTGTGGTGGCCTGGATGTCTTAGACTTCCTATTAGGCATCTTGTAAACCTCTCCTGTGTAGCAGTTCACCCTTCTGCCATCCACAGAGTTCCTATCCAAGTACTGCTGTGCTGACAGACTTTTCCTGTGTCAGGATCTAGACAGTGCATTCATCCTCACAGCAGCTAGGCTCGTGGCATGCATAGACTGGTGCTAAAGAGCTGTTGGCACTATTTTTTTTTACTGTTTACTCATTTGTACTTCTGTCTCTGCAATTTGTGTTCATAGAACATTTAAGATAGACTTAAAAGTAATATATCTACAGAGGAGGGGTGAAATTACAGATTACAGTAGCACAGCCAGTAGAAATGAGAGTCCCTCCCATACCTTTGTCTGTGAGTTGTCCATACTGATACCATATCTCAGTTACAGATGGGCGAATTTAGGCTTATCATGTAAATAGATCAGAGCTAATTACAGCTTTTCTTTAGTTCAGTTTTTTAAAATTAAGATCTAAATGTACTCTGGAAATTGAAAAATACATATTAGAGAAGAAAGAAAAGCTTTAGCAAGATCAAATTACAAATAATTTGCTTCTTTATTAATAAATATCTTACAAGCCTATTCTAGTTCATTAAAAATTCTTGGAGCTGGGAACTTGGAGATAGCTTGGACAGTAGCTTGCCTGTCAGGCAGAAATGAGGACTTAGTTTGGATTCCCAATACCCATATGGAAGCTGGCATGTTCCATAACCCTAGTGTTGAGGCTAGGTTGCATTGGAGATAGGCAGATAGATCTCCTGAGCTTGCTGCCCAGGGTGTCCTATGCAGTCAGTGAGTTCTGGGTTCAGTGAGAGACCTTGTCTCAAAAACCAAAGTAGAAACCATAGAGATGGCCTTCCTGCCTCTACATGTAGGCATACAGGCATATGAGTATAAACACACACACACACACACATACACACACACACACACATACACACACACAAGTTTGTATATACTTTAAAATGCAGTGATTCAGCATATCCTTGAGAATTTAAACAAGAAACTCAGTACAATAAAGAGTTCCTCAAAGTTGCTGAAAGACTTGTCATTAAATACATTTCAGCTTGAACAGTGTATCAGCAAAGTCCCTCTCTCTTGTTCTCCCCTTCCCCTCCCTGCTTTTTCTTTTTTCTCTTTGTTACAGTGTTTGCTGTGTTACTCACAGTGGTCTGGAATTTAGGATCCTGCTGACATAGCTTCTCACCCGTTCTGTGATCACCAGGTGGTAGCCCATGTCTTTAATCCCAGCTCTTAGGAGGCAGAGGCAGGTGAATCTGTGAGTTAGGGACCAGCTTCGTCTTAAGTTCCAGGACAGCCAAAGCTACACAGAAAAAAATGCTGTCTTGAAAACAACACTAAGGCTGGGCAGTGGTGGCGCACGCCTTTAATCCCAGCACTTGGGAGGCAGGGGCAGGCGGATTTCTGAGTTTGAGAGTTTGAGGCCAGCCTGGTCTACAGAGTGAGTTCCAGGACAGCCAGGGCTACACAGAGAAACTCTGTCTCGAAAAAACCAAAAAAAGAAAAGAAAAGAAAAAAGAAAACAACACTATGCCTATATCTATAGATACATCTCTTCCAAAGGGTGTGTAGAGTTGTATTTCCTAGACCTCTTTGATTATACACCCCTTTCTTTGGGTTCTGTTGTAGGCAAACTATGGTAGGGTCTGATATCTTGTGTGGATAACAGTATTCAAGGTACAAGAAATATGCTTAACAGTAGAACTCAACCCATATGATTTAGTTCTTAGTTCCAAAGGTACCTTAAGCTCTGGTAATACACTGGGGAGGTGAGTGTATGAGCCTATTTAAGTATTACTGAAAATACTCTGGCTGTTTGTTTATCCAGGAGGTATATAGCCTATGTGGTCACAGATAATGAATGCTGTGTTCAGCTTGAACACTTGTGCTTTATTTTTAATCGGTGTGAGTTTCAACTAACATTTCAATATTGTCTTGTCAGTTTTTAGATTGACTCTGTTTCCCCTTTCCTTAGCTGGGACTTGAGGTATCCTTGAAACGTTTGTGCATGGGGAAAGGAGTGATAGAGATCTATTCACAGACACCTAGTGGGCTGCTGCTGATTGGCGCCTCGGCAGTAAGCCTTCCTCATCAGCTGTGTGATGGTCAGTCTGTTTGCTGTCTCTCTTAGGCCTTCCATAAACAGTTGTTGAATTATAGGATTGTGTGAAACAGACTGTAGAAGTGCAAAAGTTTCCCTGATCATGTAAAGGAACTAGTTTTAACCAGATTGGAGGCTGTGAAGCTCAGATTGCTTTTGTGGGAGTCTCTGGAGAATTTTCCCCAGGGGATAAAATATATCCATGATAATGAGAATTGTTGGGTTTTTTTTATTTTTGTTTTTGTGGGTTTTTTGTTTGTTTGTTTGTTTGTTTGCTTGCTTGTTTTGAGATAGGGTCTTACTATGTAGCCCTGGTTGTCCTAGAACTCACCATATAGATCAGGCTGTCCTTGAACTCACAGAGATCCTGAGTGCTGGAATCAAGGGTTTGCGTCACTGTCCTTGGCTTGGTGTTGGTTTTTACAGTTGTAAGGATAGTGCATTCTGTGGGCAGCACACAGTAGGACTATGCAGCTGCACACCCACCACGACCAAACATAAGTGTCACCGTCAGAGCTCCCACAGGAGTCGCAGAGGTGCTCCTCTGATTCTCCTTTTCTCCTCTTGCTTTCCTCTGACCTTCCACCATCTTTTTTTTCCCTCTCCCCAGTCTTCCTCCTTGTTTCTTTGCACCAACTCCCTTCCTCCATAGACTGGGTAGTCATTTTTGTCAACCAAACTAAACTGGTGTCTTAACTATAGAATAATTAGTATAATTTAGACTAGAATAAAATGGGTTGCCTGATGTTAGTTTATTTAAAAAATTAATTACATCTTGTGTTTGTTAAATGAAAGCAGTTTTCTTCTGGTATGTTGCCTGATTTTGTTTCTTCACTGAAGTCCCCAGCAGTTCCCTTGGCAGGCATGGTTGAGAAAGCGAGAGTTAGCTTTGTGCTGTACTGTGATAAGTCTGTCTCTGGAGGGCAGGTGGGGAGTTGCTCACTCTTGTTCTGACAGCTTTCCATATAAAGAATCTTTTGCGAAGCTTAACTATGAAGAATTAAAAAAAATTTTCTTGAACACCTGTTATATGCTTTAAGTGCTTTGCATCTGTATCATCTATACCATAATATTTTAAGAACATTTCCCACTTTCAGAGGGAAACAGTAAGTTGGCAGAATAACGAAGTCAGATAACACAGAGAGAAAATTGCTTTAATTTAGGCAAACATAAACACATGTAAATTAAGGTCAGGCAACAAGCTTTACTCTAAAATACATCAAGTAACTGTAACACGAGTGTGTGTGTGTGTGTAAATACAATATTTACTCTCATTACCACCACAAATTTACATGTAATTCTTAAAGAGATATCATGTCAGAATTCCACCAGTTTCCCTGAGTGAACCTTGACCTTTTCCATACTGAAGTAAAGGTTATGATGGGGCCTGTAGTCCCTTCTGGTACTTACATTGCTCTTGAGATGGTCTGGGGACACTGGTTCTCCCTTATGTGATTTACTCACTTGGATTGAGTACTGAACCAGGGAGAGA